AGGGACAAGACAAAGATGGGGGAAAAGAAGGGAGAGGATGAGTTTTGCATGGATAAAGGCAGTGCTATTCTCTGGCTCTGTCTCCCAGTCCAGAGAAGGTGATAGCTAGGAAGGGCTGAAGAGCCATTTTCCCAGAGCCTCAGGAAGACAGAGGCTGGGGCTGTCTGCTTTGGTTCCATTGCAACTCGCAGAAACATTGAGTGGAGAAGGATATGGCACTCATGTCTCCATGCAGCAGAGCCTCTCTCTGAGTGTGAAGATAGCAGGGGGACACACTGACCCCCACACCAATGCCATTGTGGAAGCAGCACCCTTGGAAAGATAGAGATGTATTCTCAGAGGGCAGCTGGAGAGCACATAGGATTTCTTTCTAAGCCTGAAACACTGGATGGACTCAAGTGGGGCTGGGGGACAGGAGCCAGGGACTTTCTGGATATACCTGCTAGTTTCACCTGGTTGTGCCCACAGCCCAGTGAGACTTGGAAACACTCCAGCTATGGGAGTTAATAAAATGCTCTCTCTGGGCACTTTAATTTTCACTTTATTAATAGCCTTGAAAATTCCACTCTCCCTCTACCCTTTAATTCATAGAACTTTTCTGAGTCTATAATTATCTTGATTTTCTTTCTTTAGTCCAAGGATTAGCAAAAGTTTTTTTTTTTTTTTTTTTTTCTACTGAGAGCCAGACAATAACCTTTGCGGCTTTGTGGGCCCTATACACCCTGTTATAATTGCTAAACTCTGCCATTGGAACATGGAAGCAGCCACTGACAGCATATAAACTAGTGAATATATCACAATACAACTTGATTATGGACACTGAAATTGGAATTTTATACAAGTTTTTACAAGTAATAAAATATTCTTCTTTTTGACTTTTTTCATTAATTCAAAAATGTGAAAACATTTTTAACTGGCAGAGTGTAAAGATAGTCCATGGACCATAGTTTGCCAGTCCCTAGGAGGACAGGAACTGGTTCATCACTGTACCTGGTTCAACATTTGACATATGGTAGGTGTTCAGTAAATACGTGTTGGGGAAGCAGGTTTCTCCACTTTACATACAAGGAAACCATGGCTCAGAGGTTACCCAACTCTCTCAAGGATAAAATTATCACTCACACCTAGGTGGCAGTTGGATTGCTAGAGAGTTGGGTAATTGTAGTTCTTTCAACTCCGAATCTTGTACTTCCTACCAGACCACAACTTCAGCCTTTCCAGAAAAAAATACAGTTGTGTGAGAAGTCAGAGTTTAGGATCAAGGATTTCACTTGAGCAGTAAATCAACCAATGGGCTAGATTCTGGAGCGTCACCTTTCAACATGGCCAAGGTGTGGAAGCTTGACTTTAATTTCTCAAGTTTCTTTTCTTAAATCTGTCAAGTGGTGGCCATGCCATTGCTCAATTACAATGGCGGACAGATGTGAAGAATAGTTTTGGACACTGAAGATATTTTAAAATCACCTTGAGGGCTAAATCATACATCTATTGTTCAGATTGTGCATTTCTTTACAACAAAATTAGTTAGGCTTAAAACAAAACAAAACAAAACAAAAAAACAGTGGCTCCATGCAAGCTGGGAACTATATAAACCCTAGAAAATCCAATCCCCTGGTGGAAAAACTGGTCTTTTAGCGTCAGCCCCTGATTGTCTGTATCTCTGCCTCCATCTTTGCTGACGCCTACACGTGGTTTCAGCTTCAGTCTCTGTCTTGGTTACTGCTCGCTTTCCCATCTCCATGCCTCACTCCATGTTCTGCTCTCACTTGGCTGCAAGCCCACCTGACTCTGCCAGCAGTGTGGTTAACCACCAACCACCCCGCATTCCAGGAGCTCCTCCTCTTGGAATCTGAGCCATACTTCTCCCTCAGCCTTGGGTGTGGGTGGATTTTTGTCATGAAGGCTGTCCTGAGAGCTTGACTGGGCAGGTTGGGGCCTTGGGCATGGGCTGGGCACCACCAAGGCTCTCCTCACAGGCCCTGAGTGCTGTCCTGAGGTGGCAGCAACAGAACTGAGGACCAAGGTGAGGAGCCCTCACTGCTGCACTTCCCACGTTCCCAGAAGTTCTTTCAGTCTAAGGGTGCAGTGTGGCAGCAGGTGGGCAGTTGACAATGCTCCTGAGGACTCTTCCTTTGGAAGCTCTTGTATCTGTTGGGTGTTGATTGGTCTGTTGCTGGGAAGCATAGCTAATATCAACACATAGTCCTCTCCCACCATTTTAAAGTTTTTTAAAAATGAAAGTAATGTTCACTTAGCCAGCCATGATGGCATAGCAGTAATGCAATGCGCCACATGTTGAGGCCACATGGGAAGGTCGCAGGTTGGGGTCTTGAGGTCTCCCTATGCACACCAGGCATATTGCATAATCCAGGCTGGCTGAGGCTGGGGGTGGATCTAGGCCTGAATACTCTGTTGGGGGTGGCCATCTTTCTCTTCTCTCGTGTGAGAAATAAATAAAAATTTTAAAAGCAATATACACTCAATGTAGAAAGTTTGAAAATATCAGTAAGGGGACCAGCAGATGGCATAATGATTACAACGTCACTGGACTCCTACATAGTCGACTGCAATTCGAGTCCCAGACTGGGCGGCTTAAACTCATGCCATGCACATGTGCGTGTGTGCCCAAGATTTCAAGAGGAGAATGGAGGAGAAGGGATTGTAGCATGGCCATCCCCCCTGGGGGGGTGATTTCTTGCTTTCTGTCTCTCTGTCTCTCTCTGTCTTTCTGGTGAGTGCACATGCTTTGTTAGCAAAAACTTCTCTTAAAAAAAATCAGTACGCATAATGAAAGTAAAATCTACCTGTAATCATTCTACCCAGAGATAAACACTATTAAATATTTTAGAATGGATCTTTTGAGTCACGTGATAGTTATACTTTTCTGAATGTATTGCACCATATTGCAGTTCTCTTTTATCAATTGGTTTGTGTTTTCATTTAATACGTCAGGAACACAATCTCATGTCATTGACTGTTTTATAATATGATTTTTTTTATTGCTATGCTGAGTTTGATGACAGATGTGGGCACAGTATCTTTAATAAACAGCGATTGTTGGACATTTACTTGTTTCTGGTTTTTCATGCCAAGATGAAATGTCCTTAATTATAAATGGTTTTATGCATCTTCTGCTTCTTACTTAGGATACATTTCAGAAGTGAAACTAATTAGGTCAAAGGCTCAACACATTTTTTAAAAGTCAGATTGCCTTCTTGAGATGATCCAATTTGTGCTTCTGCTAATAGGGCAAAAAGTTTTTGTTCCCCAGATTTGCCAACATATTTTTGGATATTTAGTCATTTTTAATTTCATTGGTAAAAAGAACATATTATTTTTTTGAAGCTGATGAGACTGAATTTTTCAGTGTATTTTTTAGACATTTGTACTTATTTTACCATTTATTCTCTGTGAGCATAAATAATTCTTTGTTCACTCCTTTTTTTTTCAATAATGCATTTATTTATTCCTAAATAATTTCTAGCATTTAAAGCTAACTTTACATATTTGAAAACTTAGTAAAAAATAGTTCTTATGAATACAAAAGAATGAGAGCTGCAAAATACAATTATGTAAATATATAAATATAACAATGAGTTTTCAGATAATGTGATGTTATTTTAGATTTAAGCCAAAAAATTAAAATATATAGAAACACAAATTATTTAAGCAAATATTTTTAAAGTCACAATTTCCAGGTAAAGTTTAGCTCTTTTGAAAATAAGAATGGAAATTAATTATAAATTTGATGTTAATAGGCTTCTTAATCATACTTCTTTCCTGAAATTATACAAATAGCTTTTATGCTTTCTTTAGTTTTTTTTTCATTTTCATTTTAGCAATTATAGCCCAATGGTCCTCTTGTGTTTTTTTCATAGTTCCAAACTTCACTGTAGACCTGGGGGTTGTTAGCAATGAAGGAGTCTTTGGTGTCTGACAAAAGATGAGAAGATGGTGAATTATTATTCTTGTATAGTTTTTTCAATGTCTCTTCCTCTGAAACCATGCTCAAAAGACCTATAGCTTCCAAACTACCTGAATTAATATCAAATTAAAGACCATTTTCCTCTTCTTATTACTTTCTTCAATGGGTATATTCTTGTTTCCTCTTTGCTGTATTTTCAGGTTTGTTGGTGTCTTCATTTTATATATCTTGAAATTTTAGCCACCAGCCTTTGGTAATGGTGTAGGTAAAATACTTTTAGGGATGTCCACAAATAGTCCCTTTTATCTTTGCACCTGCCATTATCCATTGGTGTGGAATTGCAAGATGTATTCTAAGCTACCTTAGAATCAAATTTTAGATAGCTAGTTTCAGGTGTTTCCAATAAAGATGTCTGCGTCTTTCTTTTTTTTTTCTTGAGAGTAACTGGATTTTCTTTTGTCTCTCTTTTGAGTTTTTTCTTTTCTTCTCTTTCTGTTTCAAGTTGCTTCTTTATTTCATAAACATTCAGTTGCTTGCTTTCTGCTGTACCTTTTTCCTTCAAGGCCTTTTTCTCTTGCTGTAGTTCTTCAATACACTTGCCTTTATTTTCAACTAGTTTCTTTAAATTGTTACACTTGTTTTCTAAGATCTTCATTTTTTTTTATCTTTTTTTAAAACTTCACATTCAGTGCTTCAAACAAGTTCTTCACTTTTGTCCAATTTATATTTAACTTCATCTGCTTTCTTTTTTAGCTCTCCTCTCACAGATTCTAGTTCTTCCTTAATTGTGTTTCTGTTTCTTCCAGATTTTCTATTTGTTTCGACATTCTTTCTTCTTGCTTTTTGCTATTATTTATATCTTCTTGCTGGTTCTTGAGCTCTAAGGCTGTGCCACTTACTTTTTGTGCTAGTTCTTTGTTCTCCTGTGAAAACTTGTTGCCGCTTGCAGCTAGTTCAGTATTTTTAAGCTTCTCATTTTCAAACTCAATTTTCAGATCTTCAGCTTGTTTTGAATAATACTGTTCACTTATTGTAATGGCAGTTAACTGTATTCCCAAATCATGTACTTCTTTCTAAAAATATGGAACGCCCCACAAATTTGCTTGTCATCCTTGTGTGGGACCATGCTAATTTTCTCTGTATCATTCCAATTTTAGTCTATGTGCTGGTGAAGCAAGTACTGCTCACTCTTCAAATGCATTTATTAGGCAACTCTTGGGTTCAAATGTTGGCATTATCAAGAACTAGTTTTGTGACCTTGGACAAATCACTTCATTGAACCTCAATTTCATCATCGATGGATTGGAATAATAAGCCCTAACGAATAGAGTAGCTATTAGGATTTAAAGATAACATGTGAAGTGATTTGTACCATCTCTGGTTTATAAGAGATAACAAATAAATGCTAATTCTCTTCCTCTACTATGGGCAAGGTGCTGTGAGGAACACAAAAACGCTCAAGACACTCTATTTGTCTTCAAGAAATGTACCATCCAGCAGGGGCAATAAAATATACATAAATATTAGACACAGATTTTATAAGATGGGTAGCATTTTGACAAAGTGGGAAGAATTCCAAAGAGAGGTACTAGCGGAGGTGGGAAGGCAGCCCATGCATTTGAGGAGTGCCAAGTAGATTTCAACTGACTGCAGCAAAGGATTCATACAGATATGCATGGAAATATAGATTACTACTTATACCACAAGGTACTTGGAAAACCAGGTTAATGAATCTGTATATTGTTTCCAAGACAACGAGGAGCTATTGAAAGTTTTTGAGTAGTGGAATAATACAATCAAAGTATATGGAGTGTTAATATGACCAAGACTGGAGTTGAGGAGATTAGCTTTAAAAGATAACTATGACTGAAATTATACCACATTAGGGACAACAGGTAGCATTGTGGTTAGGGTGCTGGACTCCCACATGGCCTACTGCAGTTCGAGGCCTGGATCTGGAGGCTTACTTTCTCACTTTCTCTGTCTCTCTCTCTTTCTGACGAGTGCATGTCCCCTATAGCTAATTAAAAAAATAATAAGTAAAATTAAGTAGATAATTATTTTAAAAAAGAAAAAAAACAAACCAAAAAACAAAGTTACACCATGTATTAGGTGCCATGATCAATACAGAATTCAAGAGACACAATGAGCGGTTAATTAATAATACCTGGTAAGTGAGTAGCATGGAAATCAGGAAGAGACGGAGGTCAGCAGAGTGTGTGAAGTCTAACGATATGAGGGATAATGCTAATAGATTTTATCAGCACTTACAATTTTGTTGGGGCTAGCCCCATGGTCTAGTGGTTAAGGGAGCCGGTTCCCACATGGTTGACTGCTGTTTGAATCCTGACCCTGTAGCTTGAAAAATACACTGGACATATGTGTATGTGTGCTCAAAAATTCTGACAGTAGGGAGAAGTGGACAAGAGGGAATGTGACCATGCCCCATTGGAGGTCGCTTTCTCCCTCTCTCTGTTTCTCTGTCTCTCTCTGATGAGCACACTCACTCTTTATCAATAAAGAGTAATAAAAAATAAAGTTAATTTTTTCTTAATTAATTTGTTCAAAAATGTTGCTGCCTTTCTCTATGGGGCCCCTCCCTTAGGAAGATAACTTAACAGGTCTTTACAAAGCCCATGGACAATGCATCTTATGAAAGAATATGCATCACTTTCAGAATTTTGGACACCAAAATAAGCTTGTACTTTAGTTCCATATTCTATAAACTTTTTGGTATCCCCTCGTGTATCCCAGCTCATGTGTAACAGACTTGCCCACGCGATGCTCTGACCAAGCTGGGTCACTCCTAACAAGTTTGAAGAACCACTGACTGGGCCACTACCTTCTCTTTCTTCCTCCACCATAAGCTCCACAATGCCCTTGACTAACAGACAGTGTCCTGTTGCTCTGATTTCCAGAACAGACAGAGCTGACCTTCAATGGATATGGAACATGATAAGAAAAGAAACCTTTGTGATTCTAAGCCACTGAGATTTGGGGTTTCCTTATTATAGTGGATGAACTTAGTCTAACTAACCAATGCAGAGACTGAGAGAAGAAATAGTAACACTAGGAGAAAATGAGGTTTTTTGAGGGGAAAAAAGCTGATGATTCAATATGAAACACAATCACTCTGAGGGATGTTTGACCTCCATGGAGGGGTCCGACAGGTGACTTATAGAGGATGACCTGAGACTCAATGAAGTCATTTGCTTAAGGTCCACACAGAAGCCAGAGACAGAGCTTTGGAAAACTTGTACATAACTATTGAAGCACTGGAAGTGGACGGTCACCAGGAGGGAGGTTGTAGAGAGGAAGTCGGGACAAGTAGGACCAAAGCTGGATCCATCAGAAAGGTGAGAGGAGGGGCCAGCAGGTGGCATGACGATTATGGCGCCTGGACTCCCACATGGCTGACAGAGTTCAAGTCCCAGGCTTGGTGACTTGCTTTCTCACTTTCCTTCTCTCTCTCTCTGGTCAATTTCAAACACATAAAAGAATGACAATTAATAAAATGAAATAAAAATAATTCTTAAAAGAAAAGAAAAGAATTCTCAACTGAACCGGTCTGGGAAGTATTTCATGATGGGTGAAGTCTTTAATAAGCAAAATGAGAAATAGTGATTGATTGTTTAAAAAAATTATAATAATAATTATTGGGAAAAGCATGGAAAAGATATTGAATGATAAAGCGGGGAGATTGATATCTCTGTATTGACTGACATGCATGGCATTCCCTTTTGAAAAAGCAATGGAAGTCAATGTAAAGTTATATGTAATCTAGTGTAATAGAAAGAAGATTATGATGATGATAATAAAATAAAATTAAAAAAAAAATCACCTAACAACACATTTCTTAGACATATCCATGTCATTAAGCAATGCATGACTACCTGCTGCTACTATGTAATTTGCTACAACATAGAATAACATTTTTTCAAGAAAAATTGGACAACGAAACCAGAAAGCTTAATTTCATACCTAATATTGTATCACTTAAGGGTGGTTTTAGTTCTTTCCTGTGATTAAAGACTACAGATCGTGAAAAAAAAAAAAAAAAGAAAAGAAAAGAAAGGTGAGAGAGGAACCAGGATGAAAATCAGAAGGGGAGGACATGTCAAGAGAAGATAAAATGGGACGGAACTTTCCAGAAACTGAGAAAAGGTCCTGGGATATGGCAATTGCAGAGTGACCTTTATTTACTTATTTATTTTTTTGGAGAGGTTTTCACTATAGGGCGTGTGCGCTCGCCAGACAGACAGAGAAAGACATAGAGACATAGAGATAGAAAGCGAGAAATCACCCCCTGGGGGAGCGGTCACGCTGCAATCCCTTCTCCTCCATTCTCCTCTCGGGATCTTGAGCACGCACGCACATGCGCCCAGCGTGAGTTTTAAGCCACTGGGTCCAGGACGCGTACCACGGTTGACTACATGGGAATCCAGCGACATAGTCATTACGCTAACTGCTGGTTCCCATGACTGGTGACCTTTAAAAACACTGTTTTTGTAGAGTGCTGAGAGTAGCAGCTGGGTAGCCAGCAGTTGAGGGAAGCATGAAAGCTGAGAAAGTTGAGGTGTTTTTTGAGAAGTTTCTCTGCAAAGAGGAAATTAAATGGACTACGTGGGCAGAATTTGTAAGACGGACATCTCTGTATGCTTCTGAGAGCAAGGAAGGAAGGGAGCTGCTTAGGAGGCAAACAGTCTGTTGAAGAGGAAAGAGGGAAGAAGAGGAAACGAGGGCTGTGCCTAAGGGTCTTGACTCTTCTGACAAAGTTGGCTGGGCCAAGGGTGGGAAGGCGGTGCTCAGGGAAGCTGCAGAGAAGGTCCTGTCCTGGGCAGCGGCCTCAGATCCATCAAGGTTTGAACAGCATGAGGGGACAGAACAAGGCCATTGTCAGAGTCAAGCACGCACAGGTAGTCAGGTTCTGCACTGTTCTTTTTTTTTTTTTTTTTTTTTTTTTTTGGGACTTTTCTTGGGCACGTGCGCTCGCCAGACAGACAGAGAGAGACAGATAGAAAGCGAGAAATCACCTCCTAGAGGGGATGGCTACGCCGCAATCCCTTCTCCTCCATTCTCCTCTCGGGATCTTGGGCATGCACGCACACGCGCCCGGGATGAGTTTAAGCCACCGGGTCCGAGACTCAAACCACGGTCGACTATGTGGGAGTCCAGTAACATAGCCATTACGCTAACTGCTGGTCCCCTGCACTGTTCTTTGATGGCATCATCAGTCTGGGAGCAAAGATGAAAGAGAGAGAGAGAGAGGGAGAGAGCGAGGGAGACAGACCCAAGATCAGACATTAGCATAAGAGTGGGGGACAAAAGTACAGCGTGCAAGGCCTGTCCACAGCTTTGGTACTTGACAAGGATTTGAGCAAGGCCACAGAGGCTAAAGCCTGGGTAGTGTGTGTGGAGGAGTCAGGAATGAGAAGTGGCCTGGTGGCCAGCAGGTGGTGTAGTGGTTGAGGTCTTAGACTCCCACATGGCCAATCGCAGTTCAAGTCCCGAAGTCAGTGGCTTGAGACTCACGCTGGCAATGTGTGCGTGCGTGCCCAAGATCCTGGGAGGAGAATGGAGGAGATGGGACTGCAGCGTGGCCATCCTCCCAGGAGGTGATTTCTCGCTTTCTGTCTCTCTCCAGTGAGAGCACATGCCCTATAGCAAAAGAAGAAAAAAATTCTAAAAATAACCCCAAAAGTGGCCTGGGTAGTCTGTAAAAAGAGGGCAATTTGTAAAGTTCCCCAAGACTGAAGGCAGGTGAGGTTCCGAGATGGATGCGTTCGATGAGTACTGAAAGCTTTGAGAACAAGAAACTCTGGTGGGCCCAGGAAGAAAAGCGTGAACCTGAGCAGGGAAGTGTGAACAGGAGCTCTCTGGAAAGGCTCTGGTGCCCAGCTGCAGGGATTCTTTGAATAAAGTAAGAGTGAAAGCCCAGAATGTAAACGGAAAGCACAGAGTGAGAAGAAAAAGGGAGGGTGGCGACCTGAAGGGAGAGTCACTAGGAATGTAAAGTTAATGGCTCTCTGCTCTCCCTCGTAGGTGAGTGAGTTCTAGGATAACAGTGTTTTTCTTTGCCTTTTTTCAATTTCAAGTTTGTTTCTGAGTAGGTAATAGGTTTAGGAAGAAAAACTCAAAGATATGAAAGAGTCTACAGTGAAAATTTCTTTCTTCCTGGTAC